TTATTATTAAATAGGGTAGACATCCTTGACCACAAGAGTTTTAATTATGTTCTAAACACACTGCTGAAATCCACCAAATTAGTTTCTGTTTAGAACACGCCGTTACAATTTAAATCACACAACAGAGACATCTACACAAAGTATATTACTGGAAAGTTTGCTTCCCTGAAGAAGTTGAGAAATTTGTGGTTGTTGGTCTATTTGCCGATCTTGGCAGTTGGATTGCAAACGTCAACAATCGAGGTGACATCGTCAGTGCGGGATTGAGTGTTAAAGCTTGTGAAGATAAACCTACCAATCAGGAGATGTTTTTGCTTGTCCCAATCAAGTTAGGACCTGGGAAATAACGGCCCAGGGTTAAAATGTAGTCAGCTTACGAGAACCTAAGCCTCAGGGATCTGTCTGCTGTAATGAGCAAGAGAGCAGCTAAGTAGAGAGGCTGTTTTCCATTGTACTGGAAAGTGAAAATACCTTTAAGCTCCAAGTTACTATCACTGCAATCTTTAACCTATCGCTGCAAAAAAGTTCAATACAAATGACATTATACTGTACGGCTCAATATGACAAAAGCACAAGCACACAATGTGTCCATAACAAATAAACCATCTGAAATTTGAAAACTGGAGTGCTTATTAAATGGTTTTTTCCCGTCCCAAAACTTAATTCTGGGATGTGAGCTTAAGCAAGAGGCATGGAAAATTTAGTCTATGCTAAAATGGAGAACCGATGTTTCAATTTGCCGGATGCTACAAGACAATCCTCGAAGACTGAGATGAACGTTTATTGTAAACCAGATGTCACGCAATGCTTATATAGCCAACAACCCTGCTTCCGTGACAAACATTTTGCTGACGAAATGTCGCTCGTTGAAAGGCCTCTGTTTGCGCCGGTTGTTTCCGTCCACACGCTATGCCTGAGCTGACGGCCCTCCGGGTTGGATAATGCGCAGACGGCGACTTGCATGGTAGAGCGAATGATCAGTCTGCTAATCAGTGCTAATTTTTTTCCAGAAACACCACATGCCATATAAAATTGCAGCGCTCATCCCCTTTCATGTACGACGGAGCTCTCCGAATAATGCAGCTTCTAAAACGTTTCATTGGCTATACTAACAAGATTATTTTTATGCTAAATGAACAGTCCGTTTCTTCGATGTCTCAGAGAAACGTGTAGAAAATAGTTGCCGGATATGACCGCAATCTGACTCCAACCGTGGACTGAGAATGACCGATGGTCAAGAATGGGGCCATGGGAATTCGGTTAGTCTGGCTCTATGACTCCCCATCAAAGACAACAGGCGGCTCAACGGCATCTGTTGCGCTAGAATTCACTATTAGTTAGAAAGTACAGTGTTGAAAAGAACGATAACTATGTCGTTTTTTTCGTTCTGAGTCTTCGCTAAATAGGTAACCGAATAGCGGCTCCGATGAGCTAAGACGCACTGCTCGTGCACAGAGCACTGTCGAGATTTATGGTAATAGTTCTCGTGTTCTGAAGAGTTAACGGATGTTCACAAGTGGTGGCTCGTAGACTAAAATAAAATCAGGAGACAGCTGACATGAAGCGATACACGTGAAAGGTAGCATGCTGTTAGTCACTCTGTTAAAACTCTATGCCTTGAATATACAGAAGAGTGACCATTACATGGGACAAGGAAGGAAGTGAGGGAACCTGCTGAAAAAAAGGCCAGAATTAGAGGGAACCTTCTGAAAAAAAGGCCAGAATTATCAGCAGTAGCCGACTTTTGTTCACCTTGCCTGGAGTATATAGAAAGTAGGGTTACTAGCACTACACCACGGTCGATGCTAAGGGGAACTGTAAATATGCGTGTAGCTCGTGGTTTTTGTGTGGGTTAACGTATTCTCAGAGCACAAAACATAGACAGCATGGAGATCAGGACTTTCAACCAAGGCTCATAACTCAAGAAAGAGGTGGTTGACATGAGAATACTAGAGTAATGGAACTTTCAAGAAACACATTGGCTTACATATTCCGACCTACAACCTGAAGATTATGAAAATTGTGTTAGCTCAGTCAATCTCCGTTGACCAAACTAGTATGAAGAACTCTGCCATGTTGAAGAGACAATTTTAGTGTATCTGAGCGTGTCAGGAGGTGCACAAAATATCGTGTCACAGTCTAAATGTGTCTCTCTGTGACGCAGAATTTTGATTATTTGTTTCTGATGAGATTCATAGGATTTACCTTCACAACAATCTAGTATGAACAATCCTTCCTCTGCAAGGTTTGAACTCATCCGGTTACTTCGCACCATTACGTTTACCCTCTCAGACTCGATAATTCAGGTGCAACTCTCTTGTCATCTGCCGCATGTTTAACCCCTATCTAGAGGTAATGATGCCGGATCGTGATAGACACAGAACTTGAATTCAGTGCTTGATTCCTTTTACATGGATCACCAGGATAAGAGCGCCAGAACAAAGATCACTGCTCAACCAAGAGTGGTGTGAATGAAGGATGCACTCACACAGAAGCGACCTGATCCATAGATTTTAACGGTAAATTCCATAAAGACCAACCAAGCTCCGGTTGTGTTGTTCAGCTTAAAACTCAGAATCACATTTGTTGTGAACATTTCCATCATGGTGTAATGCACAATGCAGTAGGGTCTCATGTGGAGTACACCCTGTTCGTATACAGAAGGAAACAGGAAGAATAAATAGGGAGAATCAGACAACGACCGTTGAACACTTGAATTTTTGATAGTTGACGCCGAAATGCCCTGTACAACTTCATTCATACAACATTATGGCTATCGGTGAGGCACACAAAAAATTGTTAGTAACCCCTCTCTTCCTATTAGTATGTATATCTTTAAGTAAACTAAACGAACTAATTTTTGTCAGACTTCTCAGGTAAGAATGAAGTAATCTAGCGTGAAGAATTAGAGTGAAGTGTCTGACTAATTACACCATCATTAATGTTCAGAGTGGTAGCCTACAGACAGCTTTTGAATCAAACCAGGTTGAAAACTGTACAAACGTTTTTCAGAACATTTCTAAGTTGCGCTCGTGCACAGTGTAACGGGTGAGGTTGTAACCCAATTGAAACAACATACTGCAACGAACAAAATACTATCCTTCGATTTTCAAGTGGCTTTGTTGTAATTGGATCAGATGAATGGAAGGCGCTATAGACACCCTCAATCAAGCAAACCTGATTCTGTCAACCAGCACGATCCTGAAAGTTACAGGTGCTTTTTTAATTTTTTCTGATGTGAAATAAAAATGTGCACTAATACAAATTACGTGATATTCGCTGGTTTTACATCCAGACACCTAATAAGTTCTCCGCGGATACTATTAAATGGCTTGCAGAAGGAATTTGGCACCTGTGAAAAAGTTATTGACTATGCGGCGTTAATAGCTTAAATGGCAGAAAGCAAACCCCATTGTACACATTTCCCTATGAGAGCACAAACTAACATGCCTTCCTTAATTAAGATATTGTGTTTTGAATGTTTCTTTGATAAGCTTTTTACACGCTTTGAGAATTATTGTGCGCTTACCAAATACCATAGTATTCACATGTAATTTCGATACGTATTTAAATGGAACATGATCACCTGATCATGTGATAATCCGCTGTAAGGTAACTGGACCTTATCGTGGTGTAACGTGATGTAACTCAATGAGCGATACATATGTTTCAATTTGGAAATTGCAGCATTTCTTCAACCAGGATGGTCAGTGTTTGAACGTCTGGCACACACAGTCTCATTGACCCCACGTCGGGGTCGTACCCTACATGGCTACTCACTCTTTAAAAAAATATACTACTATGATCATGTGCAAGCTCCTAATCGTTGCACTACTTTGAACCAAAGACTTTGGTTGGGGATCCTTATCGTCCTTCTGTTCAGACGTGGGTGTCCTCATATTATTTCAGCATGCGTACGAAACTGAACCTCACAAGTAAAAATAATGTGAGGCCAGATGGCCCGCCCCACGACACCCTTAGCTGTCCCGTGTTAATTGCTGCAAATAGGGGGGAGGAGGCAAGCAAAACATGCTACCACTAACTCCCCATCATGGCACACTGCCGCACTCCTTATTCTCTCCTACCCCACCCCACTGTTAGTACTCTTTCTACGGAATGACCAGTATGTTCATCTTTCATCACGCTAATCACGCCACAACTTCTGACCTCCATCCTCAGTGACAACCTTAAACACCCGGAAATTAAACCCAAACGGCAACCTTTGAAATGAGGATTATCTGCCGTATTGTACAGCTCAAAGAAAGTGGTTCAAGGATCTCCAGAAGCAGCTATTATTTCATATTTGTCAAGGGCGTAGACACTATGGCTTCACTACAGTTAGCGAGGGCTATTTTAGGTTTTCACCAAGGTTGAATTCCGCAAGTGACATCAGTCTATTTTGGGAAAAAAGTAGAACTGTACACATTTTTTACTCTTGCCTGGAATAAATAGCTTGAGGTAGTCCACAAGGTTCCAAAGAAGTATGAAGTTTCCGGGGACATCCGATTAAAAGATGGAGCTCCACTGTTCAACTTTGGGTAGTACATGTTGAATTCCCAACCGGATATGGTGTCTTTTATCCTTCGCCATTCAGATCACCTCATATGATCAGGCAGTGGAGTGTTTCCTGGATGATGATTTGTTGGAGCAAGGCATATGACAATGGTTTGAGGTTTTTACTTCTGTGTTAAATTGCTCGAAAAATCTAATACTGGCTGTCGAAAGGTTTTCAGGAATCCCATGAGGTGTGTGCTACGTCGAACACGATACTCTTTCATGGAACTGCATATGTAATCTAATCGAAACCATTTGCTTCTCTCTGGCTTTTCCAAGAACATATGAAATGCTGAAGCGTCATGTTGATGTGAATATAGAAGCTGATTTTTCCTCAAGTGTGCTGCGAGGAGAGGTGGGATGTCTCTCCATGGACAGAGCATGAAAAACGTAACTTTGGTCAGTGGTTTTAAGGCAAATAAACTGATGAACAATTCGCTACATACCAGCTACTGATGCATTCATTCTGGCCTGGCAAACGATCTAACGTGAAGCCAAAACAGTTCAGTTTTTGCTCAACGGGTAGGTGCAGAACAGCGACTGGACACTTATAACTATTTTGAAATCATTCACGAGGTTAGCCCAAATCCGACAGGACTGACAACGAGGGAGATAGTGAACATAGCTGAAACTGTCGCTATTCCCCTGCATAGCTACAGTCTTCTTTTAGAAACATTTTATCCAGGTTGCGCGTCTGCCATCGCCAAGACAAAAAAGTAAGTTCACAATACGCCAACAATCAGGACCAACGCCAATAAAAAAATTCTCAGTGATCCTTAATCATCTTGTAACCCAACGATTTTCATTGATTCAAGCCTGCTGCAGCCATCAGACCCATGTGTTCACCCTATTTGGAAACAGTTGTTCTCAATGACCTTTCACAGGCAGATGAGCGTTGTAAGTCTCAGATGGCCGAATTCGATTAGCAGATATTGGAGGTGATTCTGCACTTAATTAGAACTTCCAATCAGTTTCCAAGGCATTCTTATAGAATTCTGCGCAAATCTTTATCCGTCGAGGAACAGAAATCAGGTTGTCTTCAGGCTGAATTGATTTTTATTATCGATATCTAAAGAGATCGAGTAAATTCACCAGAATGTACATTTTTTGCAATACGTATGTGAACGCAGATACCCGTATGAGATGTAGCTTTACAGCTCAGATAATCATGTCTATGAGTAGAATCCGACAGAAAGGTACGAGAAAGTAATTATGCTTACAGTTTTCCCACAAGTAGCGCCTTGCTGTAATTGAAGTAGAAAATTGACGATAAGTCTCGTTAATCTCCCACCTTGGACTTTGCCATCTCAGGCGCAGAGATGAAACTTGACACAGGGTTTGACTGTACGGAGCCGGATTCCGAACTCGTAAATGTAGTAAATGCTTTCCCTCGATGAGGTATAGTGTTTGTGCGTCGTTCGGATACCGTTCCCAGGCCTTTCGGAATGGTTGCTATGTGCTTTTTGGAAGTTGCTATGGTGTCCTTCTTAGTACACTGCAAGGTTGCATATATATTTCCGTGGAGTGGACAAGGGACGTAGTCTACTGAGCTAGCTAGTTGTGTAGGTATACCTGCAACACTGCTCCTTACACTTCCAAAATTATAGTCCTCTGCACTTGATCGAATCATTCGAGGTGACGTGAGAAAGCGATTTGCGTTGTTTTGTGTTAATTCGTCCGCACGCCTATCCGATTCAAACAAAGTCCCTTCAGCGTGCGTGTTAGGAGCACCAGACACACCATGTAGTAAAAGACCATCTGGTTTAACGGATTGAATTATGGCATAGTTATGTATAGAACATGTTTTCGGCCCCTCAATCTTTCCCTCTGTAGGAACAATTTGGATGGCAAGATAGTTGTCAACGGGTTCTGTTTGTGGATCAACGGAACCAATTGCACTCTTGCTTACCAAAGTTGAGCGAGGCATGCGCACATGCTTATCTAATCCAAATGGAGCATTACCTGGATGAATCTGTTTTCCATTTGGCTTTTCGGTCAGGTGACCATCCCGAAGACTGTCGTATGAGCTTTTACGTAGACCATCAGTTTTACCGCTAGACTGTAATTCTTCATGATGTCGACAGGAACGTTTACCATATAAGCAGTAGATTATGAGACCGGTAAACATCAAGAGGATAATTAAACAGGAGGCTGCAATGCCAGTGTATTTGAGCACCAATGTCGTATTCAGCTGATTCATCCACTGGAACACAGAACCCGAGAACATATGACCCAAGTTACTTTTTTCCGGTTCTACATGAACAGCAAAAGTGGTATTAGCACGACCATGTCCAGTGTCCAGAAAACACACGTACATGCCAGCATCTTCGAGTTGGACGTTTTCAATTATCAAGGTAGATTGAAATTTACGTCCTTGCGTTTGCTGAACAGACATTCTAGGCCAATGGCCTTGAATTCGAGTCCCATTACGATACCAGACGACGATGCCAGCAGGATCTGCAAAGAATTCACAACTCAAAGTTGAGTTATATCCTTGAGATAGTTGTACAGGTTGATTTGGCGACAATGCCTGCGGAACACACTGAAAGTCAGTAATCCTTACTGAATTAGGGCCAGAGTCACTCAGTTGGTTGAATATTGGGCGACCAAATAATTCATAGGGTTCAGTGCACTTAGGTTCGAATAGTTTATTTTTATCCTCCGTAGCAGAAAAATCGGGCCCAGACCAGATTTGAACTGCTGGTTCGGCAATACTTTGGCGGAGACCTTCCGGAATACGCTTAGAATATGTCAATTTAGCTCCATGTTTAAGAAACCATACTTTTAACCAACGCAAATGGCAGTCACAACGGAGTGGATTGTCATATAAGTAGAGTTCCTTTAACTTCATGCTAGTAAAACTGTGTTCAAATGTTTCTGGCAAGGTATTCATATTATTGGAGCTCAAATCCAGAACTTGTAGTTGGTTTAACCCGTTCAATGCAGCAGGATCTAGATGAAAATCACCTGAGGTGGCTCCTGCCAGCACCAGTGTACGCAGTGTAGACCCCATTGATGAAAAGAATTGGCTGGGGACAAATCCAATAGGGTTTTGGTATAAATTTAAATATTCTAATTTCGGGAGGCTGTGTATCACTTCCGGATGGAATGATTCTGGTGTGAAAGTCAGAAGGTTAAACCGTAAACTCAGAGTTTGCAAAAATCTGAGCTGTTTAAAGGTGTTGGGTCGGATAACTCGTAAATTGTTTGAATCCAGATCAAGGTCTGTCAGATTCAAAAGATGCTTGAATTGCGATGCATTCAGGATGGGAATATCTTGATGGTTGATGGTCAGTTTGACTACTTGACTGGGTAGATCTGAGGGAATTGTGGTAAAATGTGTATCGGGTTTGTCACAAATAGACTGTCGCTTTGAATAGTCTTCACCGGTCACGTATGTTACACACCCGCGGACAGCGCGTAATAATGGAATTTGGAGTATGAACAAAAGCACAGATAGGGTAACTGACATATAAATCTTGGTCGTCGTCACCAGTACCATAAGGACGATTTTGTGGGTTACTGTTTGAGGACAAGCGGCGAAGTGTACAAATACTTGTCGGACATTACGAACACAAGATAAATCCGTGTAAATTGCAGTTATGTGCGGTGTAACAAAATACATGACGCATAATTGACGCTGTGAAGCACTAGCTGAGGAGTGATTGGGCTCAATTCTTCTAGGATGTACTCCTTAGCGGAGGATCTTACACATGTCTGTTTGTTCAGGCTGCCTCTGCGTACTGCGCACGCACTGATTCTGTACGATCTGGCAACATGCAACCACATCACCCTAGTGGTTAACTTGTTCATGCGCCAATTGCGCTTCAGTTCGACCTTCAATTCACCATGTTGTTCCCTGATTGGCCCAAGGTGACTGTCAGTGACACTGGCAGCAGTTTTGTCCGTATACTGACTAGCCCGTTTGTCTTGGCAGACAAGAAGGCCATACTTGCTCTTTTGCTTGTATGTGTTGAAGCTGAAAGAGACACGTTTTTATACGTAAGGAAAACAAAAAAATCCGATACACACACTACTTTTTCTGTGTCCAACTGCTCACTGTATGCTTGTGTTTGGGCAGTTTGAAGTCCAGTCTAAATCTGAGTTTGCGAAGCGAAATAACAAATGCTTGTCGCGTTTCATCGTGTGATATACAAAGTTATAAGGTGGCCTTGTGGCTTAAAAAATAATTTGTAATTACTGGTATTTTAGAAGATGAAAGGGAAGCTCACTTTACATAATCCCGCCTTTGCTTGACAAGGATTTCAGCATCTATAAACGAACCTCAGTGGTTGCAGTTAGTCTATCGGGCAGCCCATGAGTGGTTCACTCATGCACCATATTGAACTTGCAAATAAATATCCCTCCAGGAGTTCTTGCCTAGCAGTACGGGCTTAGCTTAAAATATTATATCGGTTGATTCGCCAAACGGTGCTCGACGTAATACTTGCTGGAACAAAGTCGACAGATTCATTTAGAAATCAATAATAGATTTGAAAATTACTATATTATGGGAAATGCCTCCCATTTGTGCTCCGTTAGAACATATGCTTGACGAAAAGTTGTAGATTGTGCCTACCGGATGGAATGCGAGAAGTGAGAAATAGGTATGAAATCTGCGAACTTATGAGTAATATGCACATTCAAGAAAATATACTGCAATATCTCAGATATTTTGCCAACTGAAGCACCTTCAGAGATTCAGTTGGATTCAGTGCACAAACGAGTTTATTTGATGAATATACATTTCATTTTTGGAAATCCAAACTTGTGTTTGTTAGCCAGGTGGCTGCTGATATATCCCTCAATCTTGTCATCCGGTTCGCTATCAGATCAGAGGACTCTTCAGTGCACGCATATGTAAGTACACAATGCCTAATTATATTTCAGAGTACTGTCGTACATAAATTCGGAGAAAAATCGTGCATGCAGGCTCAGTAATACAAAAGGCCACATGTATGATTAAATGACATCGAACGTATTCCTTTTTGTCAGGAAAAATTCCGGGCGTTGACCTGAGTAATTTTCAGCAATGCAAAGCATATAAGTAATTACTTCGTCTGAAGAATTATTAGCATCAGTTATACTACATTATTAAAATCAGCTGAAATCCCTCATCGTGAAGCTGAGGCATTCTTGTGAGTTTTTGTTTGTGCTCACGCACAAAGCTTTTACTAATTCACTAAATGCAAATAATTGACATGAAAAATGCTGACGACATGCTTCCTACGTATTTCTTTTCAAACAGGATTCTTAATCTTACTATAATTTTCCTAATTCAAAAACAGATTTTAGTTCCAATTTTGGGGTTTTGCGGGATAGGTATGTTTGTTCATAGCCACACCACTCTCGTTTGAACGGCCGTGTTCCTGTTCTGGCGTAATTTTAGTTCATCCTTTCTCTTCTAGCGTAAAACCCAAAATCGCCCTAAAATGACAAATTAGGATATCTTATTGTCGACTGATACGTTTAATTTTTCACACCGTAAATTTCATAAAGGCGATTGACTGTAGCGTTTATCGTGGATTCAGCCACAGCTTTCCCTTTTGAACAGTCCCTTTTACGTTGTTAATTAGACCTCGGATTTTGGGTTAAGTTGTTCTTTTTTGCTTTACACAACACCAAGATTGGATGGCTTAAATAGATCAATACTTGATTGTGAAGCAGGCCGTGCGTCTCTGCCTACGTTTGCCCGAGGTTCCCGTTGCTTTCTGTAGGCACCATCAAAACGACCATGTGTTTAACTGACTGTGTTCACAGAACACGTTACTTTCTTTCATTACAGAGTTACTATGATTAAATAACTCTCAGTACTCATATCTTAACCCTTTTAGCGGATAAAACGTTGTCCCCTGAGTCGTTAGGTGAAGAAATGTGTAGGTTTAACTAAAAGACAACCTTAAAAAAGTAAGTTTGTATCAAAGAAGGGAGAAGTAAACATCAAGTACAAATTCTTTTAGAGCTGGTTCCAAAAACTGCCCACAACGCTGCTAGACATAATGGTGGCCTATACAACCATATGTTGGGCATAGGAGAGTGAACACCTCGAGAATAAGAGCGTATGAGTAATTGAACCACAAATTTAATCTGACTTATGCTAAGACGAATCGCGTGAAATTATTCAGATCCTTGCTGAAATACGTGAAATACCACCTAGTAATCGCTCATCAGGAAACCATTTCTCAGTGAAAAAAGGTGAAAAAATTGCACAAGTGAATACAAATTAGAGTGGCATGTAGCGAATCTGGCCGGGAAGAGATACGCAAAGTTTTTAAAATGAACGAAAGTCTTCAGCTACTGACGAACTGCGTAGAAATGAGATGGAGTAGTTGGAAGTATCACACTAAGACCTGCCTTATCGTTCATATCTCCAAGCTGACCGTCTCAACGATCCGGGAGGTGGAATTAAAAGAGAATAATCGTCTAGCTTTACCACTCTTTTTTTGCTAATCAGTCATGCCATCCGAAGGAAGCATGAGAGGGCCAGTGTGCTCGAGCGCAGACAAGAGCAGAGGAGATGCCAATGTTAGGTTTGAACCACGGACCTTTTGGTGATTAGTTCGTGCTTTAAACACGGAGCTATCTCGAGCTCTCCTCGAGAGGTAGTCCTTAAAAAATCGATTACTTTTCGGTGAATTCACTCACTTGCTTATTAATTTGACACTTGCGAGGTGCTCAACTGAATCTCTCTTTTATGATGTTCTTCGATCAAATGTGATGCACAAATTGAATTTAATTAAAACGTGGTTGATGGAAACTCGGGAATCGCGCCCACTCGAAGAGCTCCAACAAGAACGAAACAGTCCACAGCTTGTCGAAGAATTTTCAGCAATCTTCTATGTATCACCCCTTGGTTATTTCTTTTCCCAAAGTAGCTCGACACCAGATATTTAAATCTGTTGATGCTCAATAGTGGAGGATTTTGAAATAATTCTGGATTCAACTTGATATATTTTCCAGTCAGTTTTCACTAATGTTCATTACCAACTTCTCTACAATTTCCAAATGTATTCTAGAATGTGTCAATTTCAGATCACGTGAACTTGACAACTGGGGTGTAGCTCTCAAGGTTTATTCACCGTATAGCGGGACTGTCATATACGATAGATATGGATAGCCTCACTGGTTGAACCTAAGGAAACAAATTCTTCATTCCAGCCCAAGCATACCACGGGATTTCTGACCTCTCTCATTCAGTGTGTTTTATCGGTTTCTGCCTACACTGTCTGTTCTTATCAATCTTCTTTAGCTATGAATTCAATGGGGAACTGGTGTATGTTCTCAACAATGAGATGTGCTTCACTGTGAGATGTTCATTCGAAATTAAGGCTTTCGATTTTCGGAATTTAAAATGTTCTTTTATCGTAACTTGCATGGCGAAATTCCATAAAATATGTGGCAGCAGGTTCATTGTGGAGGAACTAGTTTAGTTGCTCTCCAGATGTCTTTTCAGTTTTAGTTTCCAAGTAAACTCTTTTTGTTGTCTACTACATTGTCATACACCCTAAGCGTTAGCGAAATTGACCTCTGCAATCTGCTTGCGTATTACTTGTAGATGGGGTTTTCTTCAATTCCTGAACAAATGTTATCCTTTGAGCCCTTTTAAGAGTAAGGGGGATACTAAAGCCGCTTGATTCCACCCGAATCACTTTCATGTGGGTACCAGTCTATCTGCGCTTGCTCTATTAACCCGGTTATTCTTTATTAAATGTAACCCTTAGAGGTACCCTAATTAGTGGGTTTGAGAGCCTGATCAAGGAATTGACATGACAATGTCGGTTATCGGGTCTTCACGGGCAAATCAAGCAATTCATTCAGTTGCGATGCGATCACTAGTGCCCGTCGAGGGTTTGCCCGTCGAGTGCTGGCAATACGCTTTCTTCGTACGTCAGATACCTAGGGTTTAAGTGCTGGCGCAGCACTACTTACAAGCCACAGCGAGACGCTAGTGCATTGATTTCCATTGTTGGCGTGGACTCATTAAAATGATTCGTCAGCACAGGCGAAGAAACCATCAAACAACAATATGTTAATGTGTATTCTATCAACCTTCCAACCATCTAGAACCGTGTAATTGCACGTCAACACCTGCAGTTCATGCTTCCCATTTCAAACTCGCCATGCATTCTGTCGCTTTGGAACTGAGGTGAAGTGCTAGTGACCAAATTACTGGTGCACCCAAACAACTCTACATTTAACACGATGCCTGACCCAGCCTTCTTCTGAACACGACATTAACCATAGTAGCGTCAACATCTTACACCACAAACTTAATGGCCCGACGCGGTTTACTGCTCGAATGGGCAAACTTCCTGTTTTCTGCAAACTTCGACATTATCCAACCTTCCATTCTGATCACCTTTTCTACATATGTATATATATAAATATTATGGTTCTCCTACAAGCAAATGGCTGAAACTGTACGAGTTAAGATGACTTGGCTTCTTATATCCTGATAATTCTGAGCTTCAGAACATTTCTACAAACATCCCAAATTGTCTT